CTGACTGGCTTATTTCACTTAGCATAATGTTCTCCAGTTCCAACTGTGCTGTTGCAAATGGTAAGAACTCTCTTGTCTTATTGATAATAGCCATTCTAACAGGTGTGAGGTGGTGTCTCATTGTGGTTTTTATATGCATTTCCCTAAGAACTAGTGAAGTGGAGCCTATTTTCATGTACCTGTAGCCCATTTGTATATCTTGGGAAAGGGGTCTGTTCAGGTTCCTATTCCTTTTTAAAAATTGGATTGTTAGGTGTTTTTTTGTTGTTGTTGAGTTTTATGAGTTATTTATATATTTTGGATATTAGCCCTTGTCGAAAGTATTATTTGCAAATATCTTCTCCCATTTGGTTGGTTGCCTTTTTGTTTTGTTTTGTTTTTTTTTTTTCCTGAGCAAAAGCTTTTTCGTTTGATGTCTCATTTATTTACTTTTGCTTTTATTTCCCTGGCCTTTGGGGTCAAGTTCACAAAAGGCTTTCTGAGACCAAGGTCCATAAGTTTGGTATTTATGTTTTCTTATATGTATTTTATTGTTTCAGGTCTTCTATTTAAGTCTGTAATCCATTTTGAGTTAATTTTTGTGTGTGGTGTCAAATAGCAGTCTAGTTTCATTCTTTTGCATGTGTCTTTCCAAATTTTCCAACACTATTGACAAGGCTTTCCTTTCTCCATTGTATGTTTTTTGCTTCTTTGCCTAAAATTAGTTGCCCATATAGGGTTTACTTTTGCTCTCTCAGTTCTGTTCCATTGGTCTGTGTGTCTATTTTTCTGCTAATACCATACTGTTTTGATTATTGTAGCAGCTCTTTCTTTAAAACTCTTTTTGTGCTTTTGTTAATAACTCCCTGATTCTTCTTGTGTGCTTTTCTGGCCTATCCAGCCTCTCTGTGTCTTTCCCTGAGTCTTTAGAAATATGCCAGAAAAAGACAAGGAAATGCCATTCTCCCTTATGTACTAGCATTCCTAGGGGTCCCCTCCTTTCCCTGGCAAGCCTCCCCAACACCTGACTTCAGCTACATCCATTGGCTGATGAATCCCACAATGACATTGGTGCCTAGACCTGAACCTTCCATGGAACCCCAACCTTACCACATCAAAAACGAAATTCATTTTCTCTTCCAAATTCACTTGCCTTCTGTTCTCCCAATCTTGCTTGTCAGCCATTTGCCCGATGGTCCAAGTCAGTAACCTGAAAGTTATGCTGGATTTCTCCTTCCTACCTAAAATCCCCTGGGCCTGTCCTGCATTGTTCTCAAGCAGCTCTTCCTTCTGTGCCTCCAGTTCATCACGTGGTGTCTTTCATTGGAAATATTGCGGCACTGGTACTTCTGTCCTGTCCTCATCCTATTTGTCTACATTGCTGCAGAGCAATCTTTCCAGTACATGATTCTGTTTATGTGACCACACAGCTCAGAATTTTTCAGAGGCTCTCCGTAGCCTGTGAGGTAAAGGAGAAATTTATTGGCATCGCATATTAGGCTCTTCATAGATATCCAGTTGTTGATACACAGACCCAGTGAAGAATCCAGGACTGAAAATCTAGCTCTGTAAGTAGAGGGCAGGGAAAGATAGACGAAAGAGGCTAGCCACTCCAGTCTGGTAATTTATATAGTTTATTAATGGACATAGCTCATTAAATACATCTTAGGTGGCTTCAACTCAAAATGGATTCCACACAGCTTGGCAGGAGCAAAGAATCATATAGGATAAAGGGGGGACAGTCATGGGTACTAGCATGTGAAAGCTACCAGGTATGGGAAATCACATGCTGGACCAGGTCAGGACAAAGGCCTGTCCCAGGAACCAGCATGCAGCATGTAGCAGGGGAGGGGTGCTAGTTTATGTCAGAACTGTCATTGATTACAGTCTCTGTTCAGGCCCTGGTCCAGTTTGCCTGCATGTCTGACAGCGGCCACGCCCTGGAACAGTCTCTCCACATCAGCCTAAACTGCCTCGGGTTGAGTGATATCGTGATAGTAAGTTATTTGTTTCCTCAAACATGCATACTTTTGTAAGTGTTCCTGTCGCTGAGTTTAGAATCCTTCCTCCTGTGTGTCACCTGCTTAACTCATTCTTGTTTTTCGCTCTGACACAACACTTCGCTCTGACCCTTCTGATCATCAAATGTGTGGGTTGTTCTCCACTACACTAGCTGGCTGTCCTACAACTTAACTCAGCACTCCAACCTGGAGATAGAGTCAGATTCCACAGGTTTCAGGTTCAGTCACACACGATTGACCCCCTTCAGATGCCAGTTGCAAGTAGTAGGCCGCAAGGTTACCCACAACTTCTGTCTGATTTTGCTACAAATTGCAGGTTTCAATGACCCTTCTTCTTCCTCAGGTCTGATTAATTTGCTCGATCAGTTAACAGATCTCAGGGAAACACCTACTTACATTTACTGGTATATTAAACGATCTGATAAAGGATACAGACAAATGGCCAAATGAAGAGATACATAGGGTGAGCTCTGTTAGGGTTCCCAGCACAGAAGCTTGTAAACCCATAGATTGGGGTGCATCACCCTCCAGGTATGGATGTTTGCAAACCTAGAAGCTTCCTAAGTCCCATCCTATGGTTTTTTTGGTGGAGCTTCATCATGGTTAATGATTAACTCCATTTTCAACCCTTGTCCCTGGGTGAGGCTGAGAACTCCAAGCTTCTAACCACGGCTTTGTCAGTCTGGTGAACAGCCTTTATCCAAGAGCCCATCTGGAGTTTCTTCATGAGAACAAAAGACACTGCTCTCGGCCAGGAAATGACAGGGGTGTCAGGAGCCCTGTGTCAGGACCTGCGGTCAAAGACCAAACATTAGAACAAAAACTGCTCCCAGTGCTCTTACCACCCAGGAACTCCCGAGGGTTTCAGGAGCTCTGTGTTGGGAGCAGGAGGCAGAGACCAATATACATATTTTCTATAATATCACAATATCTATGTGGTATGTTGAGGCCAGGGACCATGTCTTCTATCACCATATCACCAGACCTTAGTGTAGCTTCTGGACTATAGTAGGTGCTCAATAAACGTTTGTGGAATAAACAAAATAATTAATCATACTACCCGTTTGTGCGTCACTGTTATCATTTTATGAATGCTAGATAGTCCATGTAATAAAGTTATTACAGCTGATGAGCAAACATCAAGTTATCCAAGAATCACCCAGTAAATGATCTAAAAGACTTTGCCCATTATATTACTTACATAACTCACAGGATAAGAACTTCCCACAATTCTTCTGAAGATCTTACATTGACTTTGGAAGTGGCAATGGCCCCTATGAAAGGGAGAGAAAGTATGTGTATTACAGGGTGGGTTTGGGGTGGGGGAGAGGAAGGAGCAGGAGTGACAGGGTGATAGAACCCCTCCCTCAGCCCTTGCTACTCTGTCCCTGGGGTTTCGTGAACAGTTACCTTCCTGATAAGGGACTGAGGTTCAGTATCTCAGGATGGATGGGTACCTCTAGGTGCTTGCAGTTGATTCCAATCCTATCAATCTCTATTCCAAAGGTTAGGGTGTTTCTTATCTCCATTCCAGGGAGTAAAGATTATGTAGCTTAAGCATGATTGTTTGTAGTTAAAGTGATTAACTACCCGCCTGGCACTTAGTTAAGGGGTTTTATTCCCTCCCTAACTTCAGGGGAAAATTCCTACCTGGGGAAACAACCTTTCTCGGAGAGGTGACCTTGGTTAAAACACATAGCGCCAAGAAGGGGAGCAAACATATTAAGAACAGTACGCCATATACGCCAGGTCCCTTGAAACATATGCTGTGCAGATGTTTCTTCCCTGCAGGGACTGTGTCAAGCAGCAAGGATGAACCGGCTCCCGGCATGTTCTGACCACCCTTCCCCAAGCAGATGTAAAAATGTGTATCTCATGTCCCTTTTGGCTTGTGTTCTGTGATGCCCAAGCCTGTATTTCCAAATTAAACCTCTTACCTTTGTGCAGAATACAGTGCATTTTCAAGGGGATCCCACTCTCTGAGCATGGAGCTTGGCCAAGAAGGCAGCCTCTGGGTCTCCAAGGCCACTGCTCTGCATTGCAAGTCCCAGTGTCAGCCCCTGTTTCCCAGAGTACCTCCAACACCAGGGAAGCAAAAACTGGTGGGGCTTGTTGCATGTGCTATGGCACAGGCCACAGACTGGCTGAAATAGCGTCATAACTGTTGAGCTCTGGCATTGGAGGGAGCACTTTCCTTAAACTTCTCATGCAAATTTATCTAGCTTCCGTCAGCAATGACCTGGGGCCTCAGAATAAGGCTGCCCAGAATCAGCTGCCCCCTATCAGTTATTTATTTATCAGTTAGCTATTTTTAAAATCTTATCAGAAATTATCAGCTCTTTACTATATCTATGTATTATATTTATTATTTTTATTTTTAGCTTTACATATTTAGTGAGCTTTCCCTGTTTTGCTGTCTCCCACCTCCCTAATCTATAACCAGTGGATTTCATTTAACCCCTTTATGTCTCCTCTTTTGATTGTAATGTATAAAATACGGGGCAAAGCTGCCATTATCTCAGTCCCTTGAGACTTTGCTTCCCTGCAATTGTCAACAGTTGGGCTCAAATAAACTCACAACAATTCTTCACAGGTGTGAATGTTTCTTACATCGACATTTACTTGACATAGTTGGCAGGATTCCAGAAAAGCTCACCCAGGAACACTTGTGCTAGGATTCAGCAAGGGACCCATTGAGCCCCGCCAGCTTCCCACTGACTGCATCAGGTGAACGTGGGTAAATTGTCGCCTGAATCCAGGATCTTCCCTTGCTGGTGGTAGAAGGCCTGACTTTATTTAAACTATTGTTAGAAAATCCTTGAGGTGGCACTAAAGGACAGAAGTTGAAATGGGTGGCCCATTTTGATTTCCACTTTTCAATTGGAATTGCTTTCTGAGAGTCTGAGCAACAAACAAACAAAAAAACCCTTTGCTATATAAATGAGAGCGGAATTTGTTCAGCTCCAAAGATAAGGGGCACACCCTCCCTCCAGCCCAAATCTCTGGTTTTCTTAGGTGACTAAGAATACTTATAGAGATATCAATAGTCATTTCTTACCACCTGCAGCCACTCCATAGGGAAATTCTAACTCAAATGTAATTAAACTGACAGGCTTCCCTGGAGAAGTGCCCATAAGGGTTGGTCTCCCGGCCCCCCGAGCCCTTCTGGTTGTTTGAGACAGCTGGGAGAGAAACTAAGACACTTAAGAGGGTTGAATACAACTTGAGGAGTGAGAGCCTCATGAAGCTCAACCCACAAGCAGCACACTTTGACCCACTACATAGAGTCCCGAGAAATTTTTCTCAAACTCTATAGATTTCGAGAGAAAGACAAATTAAAATGGAAAATTGTGCCTCTAAAGTCAATAAACCCAAAGAATCCCAACCCCTCATTAATATGCCCCCAAGAAACATACAATTCATATGGAATCTCAACTTGCAAGTATCTACAGAAATTGGAAAATTTTAACTAAAAATGATCAACTTGAAAAATGGCCAAAGTGGGGAATTTTGACAACTCCAAACTGATTTTTTCCCTACACACTCAATTAGAAAAAAATGGCTCTAAAATTAAATAAGATGAATGGGAAGCTTATCTTGATTGGAAATGAGAAGCTTCTAGGAGAGGCTCAGATAAAATATCCTCCTTGAAGGAAGTTAGTAAAAAACTTTAGAGACTGTCTCTTAACTAAAGAAGGTTTCTGAAGCCAATAAATGCCAAGATCCCATTTCTCCTCCTTCTACAGCTTCTCCACTATACCCTTTGTTTTCTAAGCTGTCTTGTGCAGACTTGCCCTCAACCTCCCTTCTTCCTTCTCCTTCTATATCTCCTCCACTTCCACTCCCTACTGACCTAGGGAAAAATGAGAATACAAATTCAGAGAAAGATAAAGCAGGAATTCTAGCAGCTCCTTTCAGAGAAAAGCCTGTCTCAGGTAGAGGGGATCCAGCAATTATTTATACCAGTTGATTCCAATCCTATCAATCTCTATTCCAAAGGTTAGGGTGTTTCTTATCTCCATTCCAGGGAGTAAAGATTATGTAGCTTAAGCATGATTGTTTGTAGTTAAAGTGATTAACTACCCGCCTGGCACTTAGTTAAGGGGTTTTATTCCCTCCCTAACTTCAGGGGAAAATTCCTACCTGGGGAAACAACCTTTCTCGGAGAGGTGACCTTGGTTAAAACACATAGCGCCAAGAAGGGGAGCAAACATATTAAGAACAGTACGCCATATACGCCAGGTCCCTTGAAACATATGCTGTGCAGATGTTTCTTCCCTGCAGGGACTGTGTCAAGCAGCAAGGATGAACCGGCTCCCGGCATGTTCTGACCACCCTTCCCCAAGCAGATGTAAAAATGTGTATCTCATGTCCCTTTTGGCTTGTGTTCTGTGATGCCCAAGCCTGTATTTCCAAATTAAACCTCTTACCTTTGTGCAGAATACAGTGCATTTTCAAGGGGATCCCACTCTCTGAGCATGGAGCTTGGCCAAGAAGGCAGCCTCTGGGTCTCCAAGGCCACTGCTCTGCATTGCAAGTCCCAGTGTCAGCCCCTGTTTCCCAGAGTACCTCCAACACCAGGGAAGCAAAAACTGGTGGGGCTTGTTGCATGTGCTATGGCACAGGCCACAGACTGGCTGAAATAGCGTCATAACTGTTGAGCTCTGGCATTGGAGGGAGCACTTTCCTTAAACTTCTCATGCAAATTTATCTAGCTTCCGTCAGCAATGACCTGGGGCCTCAGAATAAGGCTGCCCAGAATCAGCTGCCCCCTATCAGTTATTTATTTATCAGTTAGCTATTTTTAAAATCTTATCAGAAATTATCAGCTCTTTACTATATCTATGTATTATATTTATTATTTTTATTTTTAGCTTTACATATTTAGTGAGCTTTCCCTGTTTTGCTGTCTCCCACCTCCCTAATCTATAACCAGTGGATTTCATTTAACCCCTTTATGTCTCCTCTTTTGATTGTAATGTATAAAATACGGGGCAAAGCTGCCATTATCTCAGTCCCTTGAGACTTTGCTTCCCTGCAATTGTCAACAGTTGGGCTCAAATAAACTCACAACAATTCTTCACAGGTGTGAATGTTTCTTACATCGACATTTACTTGACATAGTTGGCAGGATTCCAGAAAAGCTCACCCAGGAACACTTGTGCTAGGATTCAGCAAGGGACCCATTGAGCCCCGCCAGCTTCCCACTGACTGCATCAGGTGAACGTGGGTAAATTGTCTCCTGAATCCAGGATCTTCCCCTGCTGGTGGTAGAAGGCCTGACTTTATTTAAACTATTGTTAGAAAATCCTTGAGGTGGCACTAAAGGACAGAAGCGAAAGTAAAATAGTTATACCCTTACAACCTGTGGTTCAAAATCCACATACTTTTTTATCAGCCATTCCTGTAAACTGCTATTATTTTTCAATAATAGATTTATGTACTGTCTTCTTCAGAATTCTAGTAGAAAAAGATAGTCAATATCTCTTTGCCTTCCCCTGAGAAAATCTACAACTTACTTGGACTGTAATGCCCCAGGGATAAACCAAAAGTCCAACCTATTTCTTCCAATTATTAAAAACTAATATAAATAACTAGAGGCCTGGTGCATGGATTCATGCACATTGAAAGGAAATTAATTAGGTGGCCAACAGGTCAGGACTGGGCAAGACTAGCCAGATATGCCCTGGAGCCAACCTCCTTCGGTCCCTCTCCAGCCGGCTGCACCTGGGGCAGTGCCAGGGCTCAAAGGGCGTCTGCAGAGTGAGTGGGGTCCCTCCGGCAGGTGGGGTTCCTCAGCCTGGCCCGCGGGGATCGGACCAAATCCAGCAGTCAGACATCCCCTGAGGGATCCGGGAGTGCGAGAGGGCACTCTGCAAAGTTGCTGTTGCTTGGTAGCTCCTGCGTTAAGTGTCTGTCCACTGGTGGTCAGTGCATGTCATAGCGACCAGTCGAACGGACAACCATTCATATGGAATCTCAACTTGCAAGTATCTACAGAAATTGGAAAATTTTAACTAAAAATGATATCAACTTGAAATGGCCAAAGTGGGGAATTTTGACAACTCCAAACTGATTTTTTCCCTACACACTCAATTAGAAAAAAATGGCTCTAAAATTAAATAAGATGAATGGGAAGCTTATCTTGATTGGAAATGAGAAGCTTCTAGGAGAGGCTCAGATAAAATATCCTCCTTGAAGGAAGTTAGTAAAAAACTTTAGAGACTGTCTCTTAACTAAAGAAGGTTTCTGAAGCCAATAAATGCCAAGATCCCATTTCTCCTCCTTCTACAGCTTCTCCACTATACCCTTTGTTTTCTAAGCTGTCTTGTGCAGACTTGCCCTCAACCTCCCTTCTTCCTTCTCCTTCTATATCTCCTCCACTTCCACTCCCTACTGACCTAGGGAAAAATGAGAATACAAATTCAGAGAAAGATAAAGCAGG